CTCCTCTTCCCACCTCTACATAGGCACTTCTGGCTGCTTAAGGAATGATCCCGAGATCTTCTCACTGTCTCACATCCACTTATTCACTGATATTGTACATTGACATGACAACCATTGCTATTAATACTTAGTTTCACATCCCAACCATCACTGTACTGACATCTCTGATGCATAAAGTTCACCTGATGCTGAGCAGCTCAGTCAGAATGACCTGACAGAGCATATCACAGTGAGCAAATCATTGGAGCCTCACCACATACTGCCCTCACTCACCATGCACTGCATAACCTGATAGATCCTGAGCTTCAAACTACAATCAGCTATGAAACCTTCCCTCCGAAATACACACCAAAATCCTTACATAATGTTCTCACTTCTCAAACTTAAAGTTGTAAGGTTATGGGCAACTGGGAGCAAGATATTCCAACTGCCCATCCTCAATTTGAAATGCTTACTTCAGTCCTATCTTTGTCCTGCCCATAGTGCAAGCTCAACCATCCCTCGATGCCCTCTCCCCTCCCCATCTCGCCCCTCCCTTCGGTGCCCTCTCCCCTCCCTACTTCTCATCTCCCCTCAGTGCCCCCGCCCCTCCCCTTGGTGCCCTCTCTACCCTCCCCTCCACACCCCTCTGTGCCGCCGCTCCCCCCCACCCACCGGATCCCACCCCCTCCCAATACCCATCACTGCACCGCCCCCTAGTGCTATCTTTGCCTCTGGTCTCTGGTGCAACACCCTTTCCCTTCACCATCACTCTTAGCGAAGTCTTTAGCTACCTCTGTTTAACTAACAACCTCCCTCCACGAAGTCCTCCATCTTACTACTTCACTATACACCTTTACAACTTTTCTTCAAACCCATCTTTTTCTTTCTTGTTTTATCTTTTTTTTAAAAATTCATTCACAGGATGAGGGTACCACTGGCAAGGCCAGCATTTATTGCCCATCCTAGAGGAGAGCAGTTAAAAGTTAACCACATTGCTGAGAGTCTGGAATCACATGCCATCCAGATCAGGTAAGGATGATAGTTTCCTTCCCTCAAGGACATTAGTGAATATTTTCTATACCGGCATTCACTCCTTTTAATGTTTGTTGTCCCTTGTAAAGTATCAACACTGTAAATTGCTATAGTGTAGAATGATCCTTTTTTTTTTAAAACAGGAGAAAAAACCTAACAGTTCCCTCAAATGCTGAGGAAATCCCACTGAATTTGATGAGTTTACCAGGACAGTTTCTAGCACAGACCCCATTCTTTGTGTTTCTTAGCAACCTGACACAAATAGCTTCAGGAATGCTTGTTTTAGCCTGTCAGCAATCACTGCTCTTGCAGGCCCTGATTCAGTGATGAGCTTCCATGATGAACTTGCTCATGAAGTAGTCATGTGTTACATTTCTGAACTCAAACATGCACACATACATGATCTCAAGGATTTTCTGACTCCAACCAAAGTGACACGGAAAATGAGAAAATCAAATCAAAATTCTACCTCCAGTACAGAATGTAAAAGGCATGTCAATCCAAGAACCTGCTTGTGGTTTTACAGATAATATTCACCAATTTGAATTAAAAACAAAGTGCTGGAGAAACCCAGCAGGTCTGGCAGCAAATGTTGAAAGAAAGCAGAGTTACCATTGAGTTCAACATAACTTTTTCTCAGAACCAAGCCTGAGTTTCTCCAGCTTTTTGTTTTTATTTCAGATTTCCAGCCTGACTGATTTGAGCCTCAAAATTTTTTTAATCAATCCATTCAGAGATGTTATAACACACCTGTGCAGCAGGTAGACTTGAACCTGGGCTTTTCTGATCGGAGGTAGGGTCACTACCACAGAGCCTTGATCTGAGCCTCAAATATAAATTGCAATAATTTCACCCACCTGCTCAATCACACAACTGAAGTGACAAAGTTAGAACTGAGAACAGGCTAGGGATTACCTTTCCGGCAGCTCCAAATTCCTAATCAAAATGCAGGCTGGAGTCCTCCCAAAGCCTGCAGCACATTAAGAAGCCTTAGAGGATAAAGTGCAGAGCACCACTCTGTGCGAGTGTAGGCTACAGAGCTTCGACTGACGCAGTGTTCAGCTCTTGCCAAGAAACTTGGTATCACAGCACTGAAAGGCACCTGCTGATTGGAAAACTAATCTCCTGTGAAGCCTTCCATCAAACATTACAATGGATTCAAATAAATAACTTAGAACCAGGTACAATGGACTCAATAGGCTTGTCTTACAGGCGATAACCGAGCTGTGAACATTTATGGCTCTCACACTGAGCATCCTCCTATTCAATGTCAACAGTCAACAGTCAACATTAGAAGGCACTGCTTCACATATCACTCAGCGATATAAATTGACATTGCTCCATGGACAATATAATGGGAGCATCAAGGTCAAAAAAATCCCATTCGTACTTTCCAGCAGTACACAAGAATGTTTTCTGTACCCCACCGTAGACCAAAACACATCCTCCCCCGAGGACCACTCTTTATCCAGGACTCCACACCTCAAGTCTGTCAGTGACCCTAGAGGTATACCTTACACCACATTGAGCCTACAACTATCCACATCACCTCCCTTCCCGAACCCCACACAACATCCCTGAAATACTTCCCAAATGCTAGCCCATTCTGGATAGATAACCGCAAATTGATATTGATGTGAGGGGTCTGAGTGTGGCAGATGAAATTTCATGATAAATAAATTATAATGTATATGGGTGGGACTGATACTAGACATGTGAACAGTATTACAGAGTCAAAATTAAAGACTGCAAGAGTGGAAGCAAGCTGAATATTGCAACATGACAGTCTTAAAAGGCATATTACAAACACCTAAATACCATAACAAAAGTAAATAGACATATAGTTAAAATGAGTAAACATAAGCAGCGGGATCACCAAATGGTTCTTATACAAGACATTTCCACACTCTGATTGTCCTCATGGTGGAGCATGGTGTTCCTTAAAAAAGGCCGAGTAGGATCGCTAGCTTAAAACTAACTGAAAAACGTTTACTATCCCAGGTTCAGAAATCTGGCACTTATTACACTAGAAAAGTGCAGATACCAAGGATAATTGGCTGAAGTATTTAAAATAATTGACACCTAAGTTTAATAAGGGAGAGATTATTTAAATTACTTTAAGTCACTGACAGCAAGGAGACGTGCATACTGGTATACAGTAGGTGTTGGGCATTTATGCAAGTATGGTGGACTATTACTTTAAGAGTCCAATCACATGACAATGACATCACCTGCCTGACAAACACTGGTGACAGGAATAAAATTGTTTCAAGATCCACTGGGTCAATCTACTGTTTTATAATAAAAAAAATTGTACTGTGACACTCACTGCAGCTTTTGGAGGCGCTTCCATAAAAATCAAAACATCACTGCACTGAAGCAGATACAGGCAGCAAAAAACAGGAAATCACCCAGAGAATAGGTTAACAGTGTAGAAGCAGCTTACTGCCAGAGTTCTACCCTGAAGGAAAACAGAATAACAAGTACCCGACATGGAAGAAAATGTCCTAAGCTTGGGGTGTAGACTTAGAGAGAAACAGACAGCCTCAGGAATACCTTGTTTTAAATGTGAAGAAGTCAGACAGTGCTAAAATCTTCATCATACATCATGCTACACAAGCCATTTCCATTTTTAAAAAGTGGCAGGAAATTTTGACACAATGGGACTGTATGATGAAAACAGAGAGACCTGGAACTCCTGCACAGAGAGATTCCATTATCATCTTTATGCAAACAAAACTGAAGCAGATACATTTGTTCCTGCATTCCTGAGTGTTATGGAGGGTTAAACTTCCGATTTCCTGAGTCTGGTAGTGCCATAGGACAGGGTTCCAAAATTTATGCAGAAACAGAAGAAATCCATTTTTCACCAAAACCAGTGATAATTGCTGAAAGGTTTAGAACCCGTAAATGCAGTCGACATGATAGTGCATTTACCTCACTGTCTGTAGCAATTTTAAAGACATCAGTAGAATTCAGTAAATTCAGGGATAACAGAAATCATGCTCTGAGAGATAGACTCATGCATGGTTTAAGACGTGATGCAACCCAGAAGACAATACGGATGCAAAGGAACCTAAAAGAAAGCACTGGAACTAGCAATCTCAATGGAACCAGCATGGCAAGGAAACTCAACAGCTAAGCTTGTGCATGAGAGCTCACAAAATGACAGCTGAGAGACGAACATCAAAGCAGACTCAAAATTACCAGCCGTGTGGAAGAACAAGTTGTGCAGCAGCAGATTGCTGGTAAAAGACTATTTGCTGAAGCTTCAGCAAAAAAAAAGGACACATTGAAGAGGCACGTTTGAGGAAGAAACATCAACAACGTACAGTAAAATTAGAGGAAGATGAGGAAATTGTTTTCCCCCCCAGAGAGTGGAGGCATCTGAAACATACTTCCTGAAAGGGCAGTAGAGGGGAAGATACCCTTGACCCATTTGCAAGGTGGTTGGATACGTACCTGAACAACTGTAGCCTCTAGGGATACAGATCAAGTGCTGGAAAGTGGGAATGAGGCTGAGTAGCTTGTTTCTTGGCCTGTGCAGAGGGGCCTCTTTCTGTGCTGCATCTTTCTCTACATTTTCAAAACATTCTAAATATCTGAAGAGGCGGCATGTGCAGGGATTTGAGGAAGGGTTGGGGTAAGGGCAGTCTGTCAATTCCTCCTTAGAAGAGCCAGCATAGACATGATGCGTTGTATAGCCTTTTTCTTTGCTGTAATGATACGATTCGATGATACATTTTAAAGATAAATGTTTGTGAAGTGATGTGGACAGTTCTTAAGAATTGAGGGACAATTTACAGATCAAAGGTCTTTGACACATGGTGTCATGTTGCAGGGGGAGAGGTCACAATAAAATGGCATTCTGCAGATCACACCTAACAAAAAACATTAGCAAACCAAATGACTTTGGATGGAAAGCAATCAGTGCATTAAGAGGACTGCTCACATGCCTCACATGTGTGAGGTGATGAAACACCTACAGTTCATAGTTCTGGTCCTCAGTTTCATTCTGTACAGAGAGTTCTTCCAGTGTGGCATCGATATCAAGTTGGTTGGTCTCCAGCTGTCTCAATAACGTCTCTCGCTGTAGGAAGAGAAGAATCAGTGAACATTCCAGAAAACATGGTAACCACTCACCCACAATCCCAAATCAAGAGATTACCATCAACTCCTCAAGTTCATTGTTGTGGGTGGATTTCCCTCAAACTGGATCCTTTAAAAAGCTCACCATTAGATAAACAATTCTTCCCATCGCACCATTTCTCAATTCTATCTACTATTGAAATTGAGCAGTTCTCTCTCCTGATCTAGTTCCCTTCTTCTGATAAGTTCCAAAGGCTGCATCATACATGCTCTTTATCTTCACCATGAAGGTTTGTTTTTCATTTCCAACATACTCTTCCTGAGACATCAGTCCTGAAACCTCTCACCTCCCTCAGGCTTACCATCCCTGACCAAAGACTAGACTTGGTAAATGGACCACCTGTTCTTTACCTATGAAAGCAATTGGGAGGTTAACTTTGAATCTAGCAACCATAGTGAGGTAAAACAGTCTACTGTCAAAGCACAAACAACAATGCAAACATCTCTAAATTACAAAAGCATGAAAGAATTTTTATCGTATTTTAGAGCCCTAGTATTAGCATGACAGCTGGATTCCGACACAGTGGGACCCATGGTTAGAAATAAGAGGGATGGGCAGATCTAGCCTACAACTCTCATGCTCACATTCAACCTACAAACAATCAGAGAGATGTATACAGAATCTGAGTTTACAGACCAGGTTACAGTAACATGGGAAAAACTCTTGTTCTCCTCAGCTGGCAGGTGAATACAGCAATGCTTTGGAGAGTTGGTTGAAGTAACTGCCTTGAACACAGTGGAACTCCTATAATGCTGGCCTGTGGCACAGCCACAAAGCAAGCAGAGTTTTCACCTCTCCTAGTGATTCCAAATCTGTGACCTATTTCAACAACTTTTCATCAATGGTTATTTTCCTCAATGTTTTAATTCTGTATCAAACTTTGAATCAGCTTAAGAGGTACTTTACACCTGAAATAACTAACATTCAGTTAACTTAAAGCTCCCAACCCCTTGATGGAAACAACATGATACCTCAGCACTCTTTTGTCTACGAACAAGAACCAAAGCAAATATTGAGGGAGGCCAAATGTGATTAGCAGTGGTTCAGAAGGTAGCACTTTGGCCTTGTAGTCCTAAGGTTGGGACTTCAAGTTCCATTACAGCACTTGAGGGCATAACATCCAGGTTGAAACTCCAGTGTTGTCCTGTCAGAGATGCACTTTTTGGATAAGACGTTAAACCAAACCACTTTCGACCCCTTCATTAAAATACTGGGTGGCACGATTTTAAGTGGAGGTCTCCTGGTCAATAGATATCCCTCAACCAACATCACAAAAACAGATGACCTGGTTGTTATTACTTGGTGGGAAGCTGCTGTGTGCAAAATGCTACCACATTTCCTACATTCTAACAACCACATACATTAATAACATGTCAACACTTCATTTGAGACATCCCAAAATCTACTTCTCAAATCAAACTTTTATTTTTATCACTGATTATCATAACATGTAATATTAGTGCCGTTCATTGTTTTATTGCTGATGTTAATTCTGTTTGTTTTTTATAGAATCCCTAGTGTGGAAACACCGACCCTGAGAGCATCCCACCCAAACCCACCCCCTATAACCCACCTAATCTACACATCCCTGAACACTATGGGCCATTTAGCATGGCCTAGCCACCTAGCCTGCACATCTTTGGACTGTGGGAGGAAACCCACGCAAAGACGGGGAGAATGTGCAAACTCCACACAGACAGTCACCCAAGGAATCGAGCCCGGGTCCCTGGCACTGTGAGGCAGCAGTGCTAACCACTGAGCTACTGTGCCGCCCCTTAAATTGTGTCCCTCATTCAATATCACTTTCTTTTGTATTTTCAAAATGCTGACCACCTCCTCTACTGTGACACAGTAATTATTCAGCATATCCCTATTCCATTATTTTCATTAACAATATCATTCCCTAACCCCTCAGTTTTATAAATATCATAAAAATAAAAATAAAAGAAAAAGAACTATTTTTGTTATTTTCTGGTGGATGACTCTTGCAAGTGTCTTTCCATACTCTGTTTGAATCTCATACTCTCTATGTTGTCACTCTTTGCT